AATGATCTACGTAGAATGAACTTACTGTGTCTTGTAGTCTTGCAGTGGTATGCTTGGGCTTAGTTTTAATTTTCTTGGTTACAGGGTCACAAGCATGTGGTTGGTACTCAGCCTCCTTCTCTATTGAAATTGGAATGTTTTTTAATTTCAATAGCCTCACGTATCATCCATGGTAGTAATCGATGTTCTTTCGCGAGGATTTGATGTAATGGTTGTGTCCAAGCTTGATTGTGAATGTGGTCTCTCGTACATAGGGCTAACAAAAATATCAGTAAGAACCTGCGTAAAAGAACATATAGCTGACGTGAAGCATCAACGTTCAGAGAAATCTGCATTTTGTGATCATATCCTAGGTGGCCCCAACCATTACATCAAATCCTCGCGAAAGAACATCGATTCCTACCAAGGATGATACATGGGGCTATTGAAATTAAAAAACATCCTAGTTTCAATAGAGAAGAAGGCTGGGTACTACCACCTGCTTGGGACCCTGTAATCAATAAAATTAAAACTAAACCCAAGCATACCACTGCAAAACTTCAAGACAAAGTGAGTCCATTAAGGGTAGATCGGACCATAAATAATAATTAAAAAGCTGAAGGTACTTCTGGTGAACATTGACATCGGGACGTCATTCACCTCAGTCTCCCGTTACCATGGGTGCTAGAAAGCACCCGAAACGTCGAGAACGAAAATTTATTTAAATTAAACGCGAACAAAACCGGAAAAATATTTTTAATCTATGTGTAGTGTTCACGTAAATATAAGAAGTCATTAAATAGTTCTTATTATACGATTAAAATAAAACATATTCAAACTAATCAAATCACTTTCATTTTTTCGTTTAAAAGTTTAAAATACAGAGATACGATTTGAATAATACAACAGGTTTTGATATATACTGTCAATTTTAGTTCCCGGTACGAATAATGGCGGCGCTTCAAATCGGCACAAACTAGCACAAACATTTTGTAGGGTATAAGCCAGTTCAGCGTACTTGTATAAAAAGAGGTCAGTGTAACAATCACAATATGCTAGTGATGGCCCTGTATGTTTCGATATTTTTGTGTACCGATACAAGATCCTACGATACTTCGATATTTTATATAGATAAACGTCAAAACGTCATACGTGATGATATCGTATCGCTTTCCGGGACCTAGTATCAAAAATATAATAGTACTTTCGAGACATCAAGGGAAACCACAACAGTAATAACTATCTAGGGCGTTCTGCTCTAGGTATGTCATAAGGTAGGCATTCAATATACGCTCCGTAATTGAGATCAGCCGATAATTGACAAAGTCAGCAAGGCTGCTTTTCTTTGGAGTAGGAGGGAGTGCACACACGGAAGACAACTTGGGTACACAAGTCTTTAGGACTACAGCTGGTATACCATCTGGTTCACTAGCTTTGTTCACGTTTAGACCATGCAAGGTTTTAGAGACCCTTTCTTAATGATGCGGATCTGTGACATAGTGATACCGTAATGAATAAATTGAGATGAAATTGCCACTATCTAGACGCGAATTACATACAAATATAGACACAAATAAGCCCCCCTTCTTTAGACATAAGCGCTAGTGTGCCACCCTGTTTTACCAGCGGAGGCAATAAAGGTTGACCGAAGATCTCTTCGATAAGAGACCAGGTAGTTCTGCTCCAATATATCTCATGCGGTCGAAACGCTTCTTTGTCGTCGTTGGTCGCTTCGTTGGGCTTGGTGGCCATGTTGAAATCCCGCTTCTTAGAGCCGATATTCGGAGATCTGCGGTCTCACGCGTTAACCCACGATAGATACGATACGATACGTAGGACGTGCCACCGTTGTTTTACTGTACTTTTATTTTAAGCTCTTCTCACGAGTAAAATGGTGAATAGGGATGAAGAATGGCAGTTGGAGATTGCGTTGGCCACAGAGGTCACCATCGGATCCTCTTACCTGCTAATCGGCACATTGGAACCACCCTGGACGTGTTTGTCAGTTGGAGGGACAGGCTTTTGTGAATTAGCTTACTAATTTTGATTTCGCTCACTAATTTGGGTCCCTGCTACTTGCAGTCAGCCAGTGGAGTGCCGCACATTGAATCCCACTACCTTCCACGACCAAGCACTAAACATAGCAGGAACTGACGCTTCGAATCCATTACAGACACATAGAACATACTATGGCTTCACCAAGCATCATGCTGGAACACGGTGATATCATTTGGCGATATGGCTTTGTACTGGTGGGTCATAACCTAAAAGCCAATGGTGGAAGCCTACCACCTTTTTCAGAATATTGTATTGTACTTCTTAATAAAATCTGGACATACTAATAGAAGTAAATGTATTTTACTAAATTATTGCAGAAATTATTCATTAACAACGTTAAAAATGTTTTACAGGAAATAATTTTATAAATGTCAACTTATATATTCATAATGACTTTTTTTAGCGCTATTTTTAAATATTGATATTTTTTATATATACATATATAGGATAGTACATCTAGGTGAAAATTAATAACTAACTTGAGATTCAGTTCACTATCGATGTACTTGTTCCCATCGTTTTCACTTACAGTACACATACGCAGACATTTAATTTACAAAATTGCACCACTTTTACATATCAAAATCTACTTCAAATCATTATTTAAACGATAAAACAGGAACAGCTTTATGCCAAAGGTTAAGCTACAAAAACTGGTATTTCAAGGTGCGTATTCACTTGACCAGATTTTTATACTAAGAGCAGCAATCCGCTGATGGTTAAAAAATTGCGCCTAAATCCCTTGAACCTCCAGATGTTGACTTTTAACAATTTGCCAAGCCAGACAATACGGTTTTATTAAATCACTAAGTATGTATTATATGGACCTGAATTAATAGAATGAGGTGTGTTAGGAGCGTGCCAAATAGAAGTCCATATTCAATGGCACGATTCGAACGCCTATCCCTTTGGATGACAAGCGTGAGTGCTTATGATTATGATCTCTAGATATTGGCTCCACATTGTTCACGTTACTAAATAACGGCATTTGGAAGTAAAATAATAGTCAATTGCTTTCATAATTTGTTCATTAAATAAATACCTTTCTCAATTCAATAGTTTCGACTTCTAAATAGCAAAATATGATTTGGAGAAGTCAATTTTGAGACAGCTTTAAAGTCAGTATAGCTTATCTAATAATTTTCTTTACATACCGAAATTGTGTGTCGAAGACAACAACCAGACGTGAAAATCTAACGTAGGACCTGAAATATAGAACCCAATTGTTCTCGTTATGTGATAGCGACATATGAGAATCCAACAGAGACGTCAACGAGAAACTGAAACGGGTCAGCATGCATAAATGGGTAGCAGCATATTTCTCATAACAACTCAATAATAATAATAAATGGCTGTTATCAACTCGCCTGTAAATCGTGGCAACTATGGAAAATATTCCAAAAAAATCCCAAGAGAAGGATTACGAGGCATATATAGGGAAGGCCTATGTTTAGCCGTTGAGGTCCTGAGTTTTTAGGGCGTTGGTAGAGTTGAAAGATACATATTATTATCAAATTAAACTTTATAATCATTTACCTAAAGTCCACTGTAAACATAGGCCTCTTCATAGATTGTCTCATAAGGAGTTATTGCCATACTTAGCAGGTGGCTCGGCAGCATAAATTTCATCTGTCACCTCTTACGACACCGAAGGGATCATATGGAGCAGCGAATATTCTTAACCTGCCACTGCACGTGATATAATGTTTCATTTTAATAAATTTTATTATATGATATCTCATGATATTCCAATACATATTTATTTTTAATATAAAAGAAAAAGTGATCACGTACCTTGATCGATTGAAGTCAGAATTCATCGTATTTATTTGTGTTGTCGAGACTATGGTTCATAGCTACCCTAGTATCCAATAGGTGGCACTGAAATAAAGTAGTTAACAAATTCTATATTTATGTACCAATGATTTAGTGCCAAAAAAGAAAATCACAAAATCTGGACCCGATGCCACCTCACTGTAGTAGTTATTCATGAATTTTATATTTACATTGTAAATATAAAATTCATGAATTGGATTAATGGTGGGGGGAGGCCTATGTTCAGCAGTGGACTTGTGAAGGGCTGTAATGATGTAATAATGATTGTTAAAAAAACTCACCAATCGCACCACCTACCGGAAAGGGCAGAATAACGTCTACCAGTCCAGCTAATTTCTTAAATAATGTAATTGATGATACTTTCATACAATTGTAATAGATACAAGTTGATTTCATTATTTATCTTGTTATCATTGCGTATTACTGTTAACTATTGCTCTTGAACTGCCTTCCGTTTTTAAACTGATTTGTCCTAGTTTTCAAAATTTTGAGATATTAGCTCTAAGTGCAATATTTCCAGAAATTAAACCCACATATATTAGCTTTCATGTGGCATTCAAACACAGCTGAATTCTGCAGCAGGAAGATATATCCAAATATTTAACTACTTGACAGTAATAAAAATAATAGATAAGAATATAATCTTTAAATCATGATCGACATACATTTATCGTCTTAGTATAAAAAGCAGTTTAAATTATTAGTCTCAGGCTCAAATTAGATTTTGTTTCTGTAAAGGAGTCCCGTGAAAAATATGCGAATTAAAATGTAAAGTATTCATTCATATGGAATTTTACAGCAGATGTTATTGTTAAATTTCACAAAGACTGTGGCGCCACAACTATGAGGGCTATAGACTTCGAAGAATATAAAAGAATTATAAGGGCTAATAGACTTCTTTCATGAAAACTTACGGAACTTACGGTCCTTTTACGCTTTGTAAAAGGACGTTTTGACAAATATTAAAAGTCGCTGGTGCTTACTAAATGCACATACTTCGTATAAAGTAAACAAGATTGTATATCTTATAAAATATTTTGTATGAATATTTGCTATCGATATTTTTACCTCAGTGTTATAAACAGGCACAACACTAAAGCACATTTCAATTTTCATTCAGTAGCGCGTTGTTAAGCGTGGAGAGTGCGCGTCGGTGCCCAAACGGATTCATGTAAGTTTATTATTCCTTGTACGCAGTGGGCCGAAAAACAACACTCACGACCTCGAAATCAAGTGCAGTTACATGAATATTGCATTTTGTAACCAATTACTTTTAATTAACTGATATAATAATAATACTCGTCTGTTTTAAATTCACTCAGTAAGAATATTAAGCTTTCAACAGAAAATAGAGGTGTTGTTAACTGTGAAATAGCTGTAGGTCAACTGAAAGAAAACAAATTATTTAGTTTTTATTTCTGACCTTGGGTTCTTATGTTTTTATTTTACTTGGTTTTCGTTTATAGTGTATCGTTATTTTTATCAGGAAACAAGCATTTTTTCACAGATTTTTCACATCCAGTTTCAATATGACATAGGACCTACATTGCTTTAGATCTGAGTGCGTCGCATTTTTTAAGTTTTGCACACTGCTCAAAATAGTCATAACTTTATTGCTTGCGAATCAAATAAAATACAAAACGAGTTGTTGCGTATTTTAATACCTACTTATTATTATATGTACAAAAATTGAATTAAATTTTTAATGAAATAAAATGGCGTACGTGACTATTACGCGGACGGAAGAAAATGTTTTTCACGTAATAACTTGCACCCTTAGCTTGGACCACAAAAGATTTTTATTAATTTATAATGATGAAGTCGTTATTAAAATACTAATATACAAATATTATTTTCCCAATCTCTACAACCTACCTAATAAGTATTTTCATATTAATGATTTAATAACATTCAAAAACTGAAGGCATCCGGGCTAACTATGAAATTGGGACGTCAAACATCGCAGTCTCTCCCGTGACCATGGGTGCTGTAAATCACCCGAAACGTCGGAAATTCAAAATAAGTTAATTAAACGCGATAAAATCCGTATACAGTGTGTCTGGTCACGACCTAGCGATAATTTAAGGTTACAAAATATACCTAATTTCATCGACGAAAACACCATATATGCGGGTCTACGCTCCCTCCTGTCTGAATGGCCGCCATTTAATTTTTTTTTATTCTTGTAGATACCTCTGCCAAAAGATGCAGATTTCTCTGGACAGAAAGGTCCTACAGATGTAAAAAAATGTTATTTAAAAGGTAAAAATAGCATCTATCAAATAAAAATAAACATCATGGAAAGTTTTCCCTACAAAATATCTTAAAACATTTACAATGCTAATTTAAGTAAAAAAAATTGACTATTTTTTTATTTTTCTTAACATACTTCAAAAACTAGCACATTGATACTAAATTTTTTAATACTGTCCTAATACTTAAGCTACTTATACTGTATATTACTTACAAATTGACATTAAAATTATTGTTCTTAATTGCATAACTCGAGAGTTAGGGCTGTTCGAATATGACCCTTTTGCGACGCGACGGTCCCAAACCCATGTTAAGCTACAGAGCTACCTGCTACATTGAATAGGGTTTATGTGACAAGGACGGAAAATGATTTGTATTATTGTTAGGCGGTGAATAAGTAGAACAAAAAATCATGTTTCACCAGCGCAGGTATCGAAGATAAATGTTTGTTAGATCAGTTGTCCTCCGCTCTGCGTTGCGAATTGCGATCGCTACTATTCCGTTCCGTTTTGTGGGCTATTCCTTCACCGAGATATTCTGCTGAGTTTGTTGTAGTTTGCAGTGACTACGTACTTTTCAGATAAAAACATGTCTAACTATTCGTCTCACCACATAGCTGACATGCATTTCGTGTATGGCAGATGTAATGGAAGCGCTGCTGCCGCCGTACGAATGTATCGTCAGAGGTATCCCGACCGGCCTACACCCAGTCGACAAACTTTTGTTGACATTCACTTAAGATTGTCCCAATATGGCATCCAAAGGCCGCCAAATGAACTCGTCCGCATAGTGTCAGTGCAAGCAGAAGAAGAAGTTCTTCAATTTATTTACCGAGATCCCAGGCTCAGTGTAAGGCGAATAGCAATGATGCTGCATTTGTCAAAATGGTTTTGTGGAAAATTTTAAAACGCGAAGGCGCATCCGTACCATTTTCGTCGCGTACAAGATATTCGAGAGCCAGACTATGCTGTGCGAGTCACTTTTTGCTCGTGGCTCAACGGTTGTGTGCGACGGCAACCGACATTTTGTAAAAAAATCATGTGGACCGATGTGGCGACTTTTACAAGAGCTGGTATTATAAACCATAGAACCAGCATTTATGGATGCAAGAAAATCCAAATGCAGTAAGGCCCAGTAAATTTCAACATGAATTTTCAGTAAATGTGTGGGCGGCTATGATTGGTGACAAATTAATTGGACCAATTGAATTACCAAATACAATGAATGGCCTAAGATTTTTAGATTTTCTAAGGAACACATTTAGAGAAATCATGGAGGAATTACCAGTGATCAACCGAAGGCGCAGGTGGCTACAGTTGGACGGTGCACCAGCTCACTACGCACGTGCTGTGAGAGCTTTTCTTAATCAAAATTATTCACCGTGGATAGGACGTGGTGGAACGGTAGCTTTACAACCTCGCTCTCCGGATTTAACACCTCTGGATTATTTTTTATGGGGATGGATGAAGCAGAGGGTTTATGCTACAGTCCCAAATGGCAGACAAGAACTGCTCGACAAAATAATGACGATTGCGGATGACATAAGATCCGACATAGTCTTAATATCAAGGGCCACACAACAAATGGCTGTAAGGTCAGTAGCCTGTCTACAGAATAGAGGTGGACATTTTGAACAATTATTAAATTAATAATAATACTTAATGCCATTAAAAGTTTCTTAAAAATACACTATAATTTTTATTTAATCCATTATCGAAAATTTAAAACTTGAAACATACATGACCCTCGCAAAAGGGTCGTATTCAAACAGCCCTTTTTTTTTTTTTACATGGCGAAATGCCTACGCATACCCGCCTCGCGGGGGGCAAGGACGGGTTATGTCGGACTCGCACCGACTAAAACCCCATGGTGTTCCACCTTTGTCGCATATTGGCAGGGCTACGGGAACGCTTTCGCACACTTCCGCGGCCCTACTAGCGACTGCCGCCCCATGGCAGCACCTCCTCGGGAGAGGAATATTCCTCCCCGTTCTCCTTCCCAGGTAAGGCGCACCAGAACACATGGCACGCCTTCCTCCACGGCCTCCAATTGCATCTGCGCAACAGACGCCCCCACGTCCGATGCGCGAAGGCCATGGGGCCAGGAAAAACGAGCACTTAGAAGTACTAGCCTTCCCGACCCCAGCGGCGGATCTGGTCTATAGCTCCGCCGCCAACCAAGATTCGGCTGCGGCGGATAGGGAGAGCGGAGCCTCGCAATACCGACAATCCTCTCCCCCCGCAGCCCCATCACCACCGCATCAACGGTGCGGCCCCGTTTGAGTCGCGGAGGATAGGGCGAGTGGCGCATCGCCATACAACACTCCTCTTCCTCCGCGACTCCACCTCGGCTGCAGCGGTAGAGGGTGCGGAGTCCCCACTCGCTGCAGTCCACCAGCACACATCCGAAGTGGGCTCCCCAAGCCCACTCGGAGTGGCCACCTCAGGCTGGCCCTTCACCTCGGGCCAGCCACGTGGGTTCCTCTTTGTTCACCGTGGGAGACCAAGCCACGGCTACTAAGCCCCCCGCCACGACAAGGCGGGAACCCGTTCGGGGGGGATATTCAAACAGCCCTCTCTCGAGTTATGCAATTAAGAACAATAATTTTAATTTCAATATGTAAGTAATATCCTTAAGTATTAGGAAAGTATTATAAAAAATTTTGTATCAATGTGCTAGTTTTTGAAGTATGTTAAGAAAAATAAATAAAATAGTCAATTTTTTTACTTAAATTAGCATTGTAAATGTTTTAAGATATTTTGTAGGGAAAACTTTCCATGGTGTTTATTTTTATTTGATAGATGCTATTTTTACCTTTTAAATAACATTTTTTTACATCTGTAGGACCTTTCTGTCCAGAGAAATCTGCATCTTTTGGCAGAGGTATCTACAAGAATAAAAAAAAAATTAAATGGCGGCCATTCCGACAGGAGGGGGGCGTAGACCCCCATATATGGGTGTTTTCGTCGATGAAATTAGGTATATTTTGTAACCTTAAATTATCGCTAGGTCGTGACCAGACACACACACACACATATATATGTATATATATATTACCCGGTTGATCGAGCTTCGCTCGGTATTTTTTTTAAATCGTGTGTTATGTAATATTTTTTTATCTTACCGACATAATAGAAAAAACTGAACTGGTTATTTGAATAAAAAATCATGAGTGCAATTAGCTTAATTTAAATTTTCGTGTTTTTGAAATAGTACAAAAGAAGGAACTTGAAAAAAAAAACGGAAAAAAAAGTCAGACTGAAGACAGGATTCGAACCATGGCACTACGATTTCATGACCGCCTGTTATCCCATTTGAGCTATTATAATCATAAACAGGCAGTCAAAATTTACCTTCTTATTGTAACAATATTGTAGCAGTTTTTCATTGCCTGAAAACATGGATAAAACGATATTTTCGAGAAATGAATCCTAGCTAGATCGATTTATTGCCCCCGAAACCCTCTGGACACTAAATTTTATGAAAATCGTTGGAGCCGTTATCGAGATTCCGATTACAATACAATACAATACAATATATTTATTTGCATTCCATAATGTAGAAATTAATAATATTCAATTTTCACAATATGGACCCTGTCGGGTATAGCAAATTAGAACAGAGGAGGACACAAAAATGTTTTATTTATTATTCATTATAATTATTATATTATTATATATTATTCCTTATTATTATACTATCATTATTCGTTATTCTTTATTCATTATATTTATATTAAATCCTATACCTTTAAACGAACAATTCTTGTATATATATATAATATATATCGGGATCTCGGAAACGGCTCCAACGATTTTCATAAAATTTAGTGTCCAGGGAGTTTCGGGGGCAATAAATCGATCTAGCTAGGATTTATTTTTAGAAAATGTCCTTTTGTCCGTGTTTTCAGAAAATTTT